TTTGACTGTTCGGTCAGGACGTGAGTCGTCTAAGATCAGGTCCGTATGCTCACCAGCCGGCTGAGAGCGGAACTCATCCGACCGCTCCTCTGCCAATGATTGCTATTTTCTTTCTTTTCTTGCGGCCCCTGTCTGGGATGCCTTTCTCTTCTTGCCGCCTGCTTCTTGAACAGGCGCACTCTCCTTGACATTGTCAAGGTCTGTTTTTTCACCGCTTGACCCAGTGGCCATAACAGTGGGCTTGACATCCGAGAGATAACACTCTCGGGCCATCCTCTGATCTCCCTTTAGGGAGCCGACTGTTCCATTATCCCTCTCAAACTTGAGCAACATAAGAGATGGGATTATAACAGCCTTGGAATTATTCAGGGTTGGTCGACCCAGAATCATGTTGTAGGCCGAGAGTTCTTCTACTACCAGGAACCGGATTACCATGTGTCGTCCTTCCCCTTTTTCACCCAGGCGAATGGGTAAATCCACTCGTCCCAGTGGGTGGACGACTCCTCCACCAAACCCTACTAAAGGGTGGGAGGCCGGATGTATGCAATCAGTCTGATATTTTAGTTTCGACAGACATTTGCTACTGATGAGATCTGAGGAGCTTCCGGTATCTATGAGGATTCGGCCAACTCTCTGGTTGGCCACTTTACATTCAATAACGATAGGGTCGTCATGCGGCCCTCTTACCCCTCCTAGATCTTCTTCAGTGATGACAATCTCAGGAAATGAATATTTGGACGGCCGTTCTTGGTGAACGAAATTTACATCTAACCGCCTGATATTGTCTTTGTTGCCCCTAATAGTGGGGCCGCCTCCTGAGAAGCCGCCTGCAATGGTGTAGACGACTGCATCATCTGTATCGGAGCTGTCGGCCTGTTGATTCTTTTTGGCCAACTGCTTTTTTGAGGAAGTGTTCCCCGTAGATTTCTTGACATAAGTGTCAAGATCACCTTGCTCAGCTAGGCGGTCCAGATACCGCATGAGACTGATGCAGTCATTGGTGTGATGACCAACATCATCATGATATGCACAGAATTTATCTTGGTTCCGGTTGTTTGCAAAACCCTTCATGGGGACCGGCTTCTCAATTGAGATCCGTCCCTTGATTTCTTTTAGGATAAACTGGTTATCCTTGTTAAACGCATACTTTGGGGAGTATGGTTTGAATTCTTTTTTCTTTTTCTGGGCCGGCTGTTTAGAGGAATCAGCCGCCCAGACCTCTTTTCTCTTCTCATCTTTGTTTGACGACTGTTTCTGTCGTCCTTCTCTTTTGTCGAACCTTTTCCCGTCCGACTGTTTTACCGTACAAAGATCAGTCGCCTGTATATAGGCTTCTGCTTCAATCAAGGCCTCTTGAAGAGTCGCCACCCTCTTTCGAACCAAATCAAATTTGAAGGTAGACCCGTCTTTGAGACCTCTGAAAAAGTCAGTATAGGCTACCTCATCCGGTAACCCTTGAATCTGTATTCTCATCAGGTTAAACCGCCTGATGTAAGAACGAAGCCCCTCCTTCTCGCCCTGCTGAATGGTTCCTAAATCAAGGGTCGTTTTCTTCGCAGGGATGTTCATGGCGAAGTTGGAGGTGAATAAGTAAGTAAGCGTCCTGAAGCTATTTACACAACCAGTCGGCAGGTTGCCGAACCATTGTTGTGCGATTCCTTTGAGAGTCGCTGGGAAACACTTGCACTAAGTGGGATCATCCAACCCTTGAAGGTACATCAGGTTGGTGAATGCCATCAGATGGTCTTCTGGGTTAGTAGTGCCGTCATAGGCGCCTACTAGTACATTTTTCACTTTGGCCGGCTGAGCGGCTTCAGTAATTTCCTTGGAGAAGGCCGACGGCTGTTCACCAAGTCTAAGAAACTGTAGCTGCAAGTTCATAGGTTGGAAGTTTTTTGCTGCAGGTCCACCAAACGGAGGTGGCTGCAAAAAATACTGTTGTTGCGGCACAAATGGTAAGTTTGGTACCGCTTGGTCGCTATGAAAGCCGGACTGACGGGAGGTGCCGCCTGACTGACTCTCATGATACGACTGAGTATGCCTCATTGAGGCATTTCGCAGACTGTCTTGAAAGTTTGAAGTAGAGGCCAACTCTGACAATCGATCACTCTTCTTCTGCTCTAGCAGTAGCCGAGCGTCTGTGAATGTCTGCTTCGACCCGTCCGCCTGAATATGACGAACAGGTTTCCTATTTCCTGTAGGAAAACGGAATTTTGTGAAATCAAGGGCAGGTGGCTCCCGCTTCGTAGATTTAGGATGAGGAGTCGCCTCTCGCCCTTGAACTGGCTTCCTCTTCAGTGAAGTGGAGGGTTTCTTAGCCGACTACTCCTTGACTGGAGCAGGTGGCTTCTTGTTGATCAACTCTTGAATCTCTCCCTTGAATGTCCTCATGAAGGTCATGAGTTCGTTCCATGTGATGGGAGCAGACCCATCAGTCGGCTGTTGCCGAACAGGCGGTGCGCCTGCTGGCTCACTTCCAGTTTGAAGATGTTCCCGTTCCCTCCTTTCGGTATGACGGGTACGTCGGGCCCTTAGGGTCCCGTCTGAAGCTGTGTGAGCTTCAACTTCAAATTCACTCTCGGTATCATGGTCCGACTGAACTTGAGGGTCGTCTAGGGGACGCCTCTCTTCAGGAGTCGGTACAGACTTGGATGCCATCTCAGAAGTACTCTCCCCACAGACGGCGCCAAATGTTTCGAGGTTTTCTGATGTCCTGCGGGAGAGTTACAATTCCGAGACTGGAACCGGACGCCTGTACCTGCAAAATAACAGAGACTCCTGGGAGCTCCGCCTCCAACGGTCAAGTTAGTACTTGATTAAGGAGTAATTAATGCGGAAATTAAAGTGATTGGGTCTCTCTAGGTGAGAGTGATTAATGTAGGTAATCTGCTTTGTTAGCGAGATCAGCCGGTTATTACTGTGTGTAATTAATGTGTTTTTTTTTCGTGTCCTCCCCCTTAATGAGGATTAAGGGAGGTATTTATAACCTTGGGAAACGTGCCCATCCTAGGTTTAGGTTAACCTAGGGCTGATTGGGCTTCCCTCGGAAGTTGGGCCTGGGTGGCCGGTTTCTCCATTAGGCATGGAGTATGCCACACGTCATGACATAATAGGTCCAAGGTGGACGAATAAGCGCGTGCCACGTGGCAAGCCCTGACAGTTCCAACTGGGGGACACTTGGCAGGACCTGATTGGCCCACGTGGCGCATTCTGATTGGGAGGAGCAAAATCACCTAATCAACACGTGTGACTCATGACTGATAAGTGACTTTTATGTCACTTTTAGGGTGTTTATTGAGTCGCTTTCCAGCTTATTTTACAATAATTTAGCCCATTTTGTTCTTTATTTCTTTTATTTGCTTATTCTCGTCTTTTATCTTTTTTTTTAGTATTGTAATAGTTTTTATTAGTTTTTAGTTTATTTTTGTAGTTTTAGTTAATATTTCCCGCTTCTCTCATTTTATTTATTTTATTTTCTTTTAGTTTCTAGTTTGTTTTATTTTAATTTATTTTATTTCATTTTATTTTATTATTTATTTAGTTTTAGCTTTTTATTTTACTTTATTTGTCTAATCTTATTTTATTTTATTTATCTTATTTTATTTTATTTTTATTTTATTTTATCTTTATTTTATTTTATTTCGTGGTAATACCCTCGTGTTTTTGGTTGTAGGTGTTCCGGGTTTCAAGTTCAAATCGTGTTCGGGGTCCGAGGTTCGAGGCAAATGCACAATGCTCCCTCCTCTTGCTGCTGCCAGCACCACTTTCAGCCAAAACCAAACCAACACCACCAACATCACCAAACAACACCAACAGCCTCCACAGCCACGCAAAACTAACCTCAATTCACCAATCAACCACCACCAATCCACACCCAATTCAACCCCGTTACCAGCCCACGAACCGCAACAACAGCAGCCCCTGCTCCACCACGCAACTCCAATCAGCCCAACAACACCCAAACCACCAGCAACCACCTTCTCACACCCAATTCAGCCCACCAATCAACCACCACGCAATCCCATACCTCAATTCGAATCCAATTTACACTCACCATCAACAGCCACCACAACTACAACCACCAGCACCTCACCTCCGCCACCTTCCCCTGTTTCCACTCGCAACAACAACAATCAGCAACACCACCCAAAACCCGCACTAGCCATGCCTCCTCCAGCAGCCCCTACTCCTCCTTCTCACACCCACACCTCTTCCACACACCAAACAAACACCAATTAAACCACCAACACCACCTAACACAAGTTATAATTGCATAATTTAAGGTAAAGATTTCCTTAGTTAGTGTCATGTCATCAATCCACAAACAATTAATTTCAAAAAAATCAAGTTGCAAATGAAATATATTTCAATATGGGTAGATCTTTTTGAAACCCGCCTAAAATAGTATATGAAACTAACATTATGGAAAAGAGGGAATATAAAAAATACAAATTCTTAAATGAACCTGGTTCACACTAATTTATTGTGGACCACTAATATTAGAGAAACTATGATTGTTTTATTAATAAAAAAAAGCGTCACTATAATAAAAATAAGGTCCTTATGTTAAAATAAAAGTTATTTTGGTAATATATAGGCTATAAGATGTTAATTTTTTTAATGAAATATATTATATACTGGTCAATATGAGAAATAAAGGTCACTATGTTAAAATTAGGGTTATAACGTTGTATTCAAGTTCACAATAATATTAAATGTTATAAAAGTTTTAATAAAGGTTACTATGTTAAAAATAAGGTTAATATGTTAAAAATAAGGGTAACTATTTTCAATATAACGTCAGTTGCGTGTGTATAAATATCGGGTCCACAATAATATTATTGTGGACCAGGTCCACGCAAGTCTTTTTGATAGAAAAAGTTAGCTTGAAATCATATGTAGCATGACAAGCTTATTTAACAATTAACTTACCATTGAAGTTGCTCTTATCTATCTAATCCATATTAATTAGATAAAATCCATTTCACCCCTAATATCTCGCTAATTACCGGCAATCACGCTCCTACACTCAACCATAAATACTCATCGTATAACTTATTCTCTCTCCGTTCTTCTCCAACATTGACCAACTCTCTTCATTTAGACATCATCATCTTTCAATCGATCGATTTTCTGACAAAAAAATTGCAAAAATGTTGGCAGTTTTTGATAAATCTGTTGCACAATCTCCTGATGAATTAAAGAGTCCAAACCCAGAATCTGTTTTTGCGTTGAAAGATGGAAATTTGGCTCAACATTTCTCATCTGTTCATCTTAATGCTGTCACCATTAATCTTGCTCAATCTGGGTTTATTTCTTATTCCAGCGATAAACAGAACCCTCTTCTTCCAAGGTTGTTTCACTCTCTTTTCTGTTTTGTTGTCCTCATTTTTTTTTTCTGGGGTTTTATGTTATTTTTGCATTTGATTTTTTATTTTGTGTGTTTGTTGTTATTATTTATGTGATTGATTTGTTTTTGCACTTGGATTTTGATAATTTTATGGTTTTTTTTTTGTTTTTATTTATGTGATTGATCATTTTTTGCATTTGGGTTTTTCAATTTTTATGTTTGTGTTGTCATCATTTTTGTGATTGATCTGTTTTTGTCGTATTAATGTGAAGTTTTGTTGTTTTTATTATGCAAGGTATTTGTCTATTTATCTGGGCTATCTTGTAGCATCTATCTTTTGTCGGAACAGTATGCTGTTGTTTTCCTGTAAAAGGGAAGTGTAGGGTCTTATTCTTGAAACCTTTTTTAACTCCCTTGTTTTTATACATATATTAGTTGTAATTGTTTTTTTTTTTTGTTTTTTTTTAAATTGTGATTTGCGATTCAAAGATCTTAATCTTGATAAATAAGAAGTTTACTAATTTTGGGATGGGTTTCTTTTGCAAGTCATTGTGTTCAGTTTATGAAATGAATTTAGGAATAACATTTTGTACCTTCTCTATATCTTTATAATTGGGTAGCAAGTTACTTTGATGGTGTAATTAGAACCATCAATATGAAATTTTTTGTCTGGATTTTCTAAGTATGTTCTCTTTTAATTTTCTGATAGTCTAATGCTTGTCATCAATATTTTTGCTGGTTTGAGCTCTTGTATAAACTATTCCGAAATTTAAAATAATAATGAAATGCACCATTGCTGGTTAGGCTCCAATTTTTTTTGTTGAAATCACAGCATTAAGATGTTTTGATTGATGACATAATTCGTTTCAAAATTTCTGACTCTAACGAAATTCTGTCTGCTGTATTACCATTTTCTTTGCTTAGATTTGGAGCAACTAACCAGCATTCCTGTTAATGTGATGATTTCTTTGTCTATAAGCTGATCTTTGTTTGGTCTGAACAGACTATTTGCTGTAGTGGACGACATATTCTGCTTGTTCGAAGGCCATATTGAGAATTTTGCTCCTCTTAAGCAGCAGTATGGATTGAGCAAAACAGGCAATGAAGTCAACATTATCGTTGAAGCTTATAGATCTCTTAGGGATAGAGGTCCTTATCCTATAGAGCATGTCATAAGAGATATCCATGGGAAATTTGCTTTCATCCTTTATGACAGTGCTTCAAAAAACTCATTTGTCGCTGCCGTGAGTTTTATATCTAAAGTTGAAATTGTCCCTGACTGTGGCCGCTGTGCTGTACCCAATCCTATCTGAGCTTGCACAATTGATTTTTGATGCAGGATCCTGATGGGAGTGTTCCATTGTTCTGGGGAGCTGATTCTGAAGGTCATCTTGTTGTATCGGATGATGCAGAGACTGTTAAGCAGGGATGTGGCAAATCTTTTGCTCCATTTCCAAAAGGTGCACTCTGTATATCATCCATCTGTCATTTGTTTCTTTTTCTAGTTGTTTCATGTCTTTTTTCCTGATGTTATGTCATATGACAGTGCTCTGACTTTATAGAAATGCAGCACTTAATTTAGTAGAATAACATAGGAATTGTCCTCACTGAACTCATGTGGTTAGATGACTTGTTATGACTTGATTCCGAATTACAAGAAAGTAAAAGTAACATCCTATGTTAAAACTAGAGATTTTTATTTTTATTTTATTGCTACTAAGACTCTAAAAGTGTCAAAAATTGCTTTTATTCACCCTTCTTCCTTTTGTATCAAACATATTGGCCCTTACTCTCATCAATCAGAAACCTTTGATGAACTTCACCCTCTGAATTATGCATCAATTAATTACAATCATTTGTGATGGTTGAGAGAATTCAGAGATAGTGGACAAGGGTTTAATCTATGCAGTGGTTGCGTCCCTATGGTGATCACTGGTACTTGTGTGTCTCCCTAGACCTATATTTGTAAATCTATATCTCATAGCCCCAGTTTTCCTACCTCTCATCATCTTATGATCTCCCATTTCCCCATTTTCTAATATTTTAGTTAATAAAGCAGAAGTATAACAATGATGAGTAGCGTCTTTGTGCTATTGATGATTAGTGTTGCTGAAATTTGGTTTGCATATGCTGGATGTTTTTAAAAGTCCCTTAAATGGATGGTCTTACTTGGTGAGACTGCAATTGTGATTTTGATGTCTTGGAAATGACCTTTTAAATGTTAAATCTATGGTGGATAAAATTTCTAGTGTGTGGTTTTTACCTGTCTTTGTGGTTTTAACTGTTGTAGAATTTGCATATAATGATTCAACTGCTGAATGAAATATCTTGGACCTTGAAAAAAAGATGAATAGGAAAGTTTAAAATTTAAATACCATTATTCATCAGGAATGGGAGAGTAACATTTAAAAGAGTTTGCATGTGTGGTATGCACAAGGGGTTAATGCTGGTCTGAGACAGAAAGTTAGGTTAGATTTTAAAGAATGCAAAAACTTATAGGTCAAGTAGTACATGAATACATCTAGATCACATTACTGTAACCTACTTTGTTTCTCCTCGCAGTATCCATACTCCACAGTGTTCAAACCTTTATAAACTATATATTTATTTTAACCAACAATAGTATTTTGTACAATATTTTACAGGTAATAAAAAATACTTGGATCAATATTTCTGTCTTATTTCTGTTTGCGTTAACCTCTTGACCACACCTTACAACTCTTAATTCTTCCATTCATAATTTCTACTTTCAAAGAACAACTAAAGTCCCTAATCAAATAGTTTGACTCTTTGTGGTAATGAGTAAAGACTCTTTAAGAGTTAACTTGATCCAATATTATCTCCCACATGATAAAAGTTACTTTCACATTTTGATTTTTTTTTGGGTTCAAAAACATAATGACAAGCACAGATAGTGTTAGAAATTTAATATTTAGCAAATAATTCAAATAATGAGATTGATAATGACTTTCCCAATATTTACAAGAATTACTCACTCCATACATAAAGTATAAAAGTATATAGAACAAAAGGAAGAGTTTAATGAGGAAGAGTAAACCTTAATTTTCATCTCAGCATGATGCTTAATGAAATCTAAGAACAGAAGTAGAATGTAGACTGGGATGATGATATGATCAAGTTCTTTAACACCTATGGTTTTGTTTACCAAAATTCTTCTTCTTAAGCGTTCCTGAAGGGACTTGTTTTGATTACATGACCAAGGTTGTGTATCTCCTTTGTATACTCTCTTTTTCTTCCCCTTTGCTTCCCTTCATCAACTCTAAAGCCAAACTCTAACTTTCTTTCAGTGATGATTTACCTGTTTCTTGAACTTCAGAAAGTTACATGATAAAACAATAAAAAGAGCAGAACACGAACCTTGATGGCTAAACATGCTGATTTAGTCAAAATGTTAATGTAAAACAAGTAATCAAATATTATAATTATATCCATTTATCCATATGGTACATGGAAACATTATATAAGATAGACTAGAATATGTTGTTAATGAGTACAGGAATTGGTCTGTAATGAGTTGAGCTCTCAAGTAGCCATTCTTATCCTACCTCCTCGTTGTTACATTTCACTAGCATAGAGGTATAGAGTATGTATGAAAGTAGAAGTTATTTGAAAACTATTTTTGTAGTTGTTTGGAAGTAAAAAAAACATGTTAAGTCACACAGAGATTTTAGGTTATATCTTTATATCTATATGTTGGTGTTTCAGATCTAGCAATATTTTGATCACAGCCGATGTCCAATAATGGGTAAAAATGATGACGTGATGCCTACCATGTTCAATGAGAATAACAAGGCTACTTGAAGTTTTATGAACTTTTTTTTTTAGTTTGAAGACCTATGCAAAAAGCTGTAAGCTCTGTAAATTGTACAGGCAATTCTTTCTTATTTTAATTATTTTGGGAACTGAGGGGAATTGTTGTTGCTTGAAGTTCTCAATGGCACTTGAATTTTGAAGGCCTTGGTCTTTAGATTAAATAGGGATAGATGGTTCTTCTGTCTGCCTACTCTGAGTTTTCAAAAGTTCCTTCTTTAATAAAATGTTTAAAATATTAATTTTCAAGTTCTGTTGACTTTTCTAGCCTTTGGATTGACTGTATTCAAACTAACCCCTGTTACTGCCAGGTTGCTTCTTTACAAGCTCTGGTGGGTTGAGAAGTTATGAGCATCCATGTAATGAGTTAAAGCCAGTGCCCAGAGTTGACAGTTCTGGTGAAGTCTGTGGTGCTAACTTTAAGGTCGATGCAGATGCTAAAAAGGAATCACTTGGTATGCCCAGGGTTGGAAGTGCTGCAGACTGGTCCTCAAACTACTGATTGACTTCTGATCGTAGATTCAAAGGGGTTTTCTGATGTGTAATAATTTCTTGAGATCCCTTTACTGTGAATGACTATTACTAGGGCTTCTAAAACCATATGTAATACCAGCTAGGAGAGTTGCCTTTTATGCTGTACGAAACTGAAAGTCCTAGCTGTAGATATATGAGGAAATAATTGTTACAGACTATCTGTTACCTTCACTTCGAAATGTAATAGAACAAGTTTTACTGAATTACACTAGAGCTAGACCATGATTGCGCATGGTTTATCTATCCTCAACATCGTTCATCAATATTGATTTCGAAATTTAATAGCAATTTGGTTTACCCTTGCAAGATATGGAGCAACTGTTTTCATTAAAGCTGAAGTGAATTTTTACACGTTTGTTTTAGTTTCTCGCTATACGCTAAACATTTAGCTGTGCACCAAACAACTTTACAAATAAAACTATTAAGATGGCTTTTTTTCCCTTCAAGCTAATAAACTGACCGTAGATAATTATGTCTCAAAGAGTTAAAAGCTAATAAAATGGCAGTAGGAAAACAGGCAACTTTTCCTTTGCTCTGTCTAGTATAGTGGTATCAGATAAATTGATTTGATTGTCTGCTAGGTTCACTGTTTCAGTCCTTTGCATTTGCAATTCCACCTGGTGTAATCTTAAATACGTGCTGCTGTTAAGGTGATAACATATTTGAAGTATTGTGATGAATGAGCATTTGTGATGATGCAGAATGTTTCAATATGCATTTATTAGTACCACCACAAGTATCAATAGTAAAAGGATATAGCTTCTGCCTCTGGTAGATTTGGGGCGTCAAACACCTTGCAGATTCGCTGTTCGCCTTTTCCCAACCTGAACATCAACCTTATTGTTGATGCATGGGCTAAGACATGACCGCCTGCTGGTTTCTTTGGGTCCGTAACAAAAACTCCTCCTGCTGGGTCAGCAATAACTGCAACAATATTTGACACGTTAGCTTGGTGTAAAATGGTTTAATAAGTAAATTAGTTGAAAATTTCTTACATAATAATCCAAGTCAAATTGGTTACAGACTTTTGAAAAATAGCTCATGAAAAATGTACCTTGATTAGTGAGAAATACATCTATGTTGAATTCTTCAGCAATCTTCATCAAATGAGAGAGCATTTGGGCCAGTTTTTGCTAAAAATGCAATTTAATTACATCCATATTATAAATTATGCAGAAAAAAATAATGGGGAGATTTTGCAGGATGGTGTTCAATAAAGGAGACTGTTTCAAATCTTTCAACAAATTACCTGTCACTCTGCAAGCTCTCCTCTTCCAGAGAAATCCACTCGGAATAGAGCGATGACAGAATCTACAATCTAGGGAATCCAATGGAAAAATGATGTTAGCCAAAAGTATTTGACAGGATTTTGCAGGTAATTTCGTTATCGTAAGTTGTGAGTTTCACCAGTAATCGAAAGGGTTCCTTGGCCATTTTTGCTGCCAGGACAAGGAGGAGATTGTACTGATATTCATAATATGTACATGCACGTGCATATATGATCTATAAAATTCGAAAGATATAAATTAAGTTGCTATACACTATAAAATTCAGACACTAAATCAAGGTTCGAGGTTGCTTTTTACGTTGTCTAGGACAGTAGCAGCATCCAACCCAAACCTTTCAGCAATTGGCACAATACGATCAGGTCGGCTGTAGTATAGCAAGTGAAGAAAAGACTTTTGTAATATGTACTGCGCACTTCATTTGCAGACGTTTTAAATCATTTCATTACGGTACACCAAAAATAAATGCAATGACAATAGAGGATACAAAGTTCCTTCAGTGTCGATGTAGGCAACTTTCCCATTTCCTCCTTTCATGCTGGTCGGAAGCTGCATATCAATATTGCAAAATAAATGAAACTAGATGAAGGGTCTGTTCATATTTACTGAACTGAGCTGAACTGAACTGAACTGATTGGAGCAGAACTGAACTGAACTGAACTGATTGGAGCTGAACTGAACTGAACTGAAAAATTAAAATGCATAAAAATATATGAAAATGTTTATGAAAATTACTGATAATATATATAGTGGATTGTGAAAAATATAAAAGTGTTTTAAAAATAACTCTGTATTTTAAATTATTATATTTTAAATTATTAAATTTTTGTGTATTATATTTTAAATATATATATAAAAATAAAAAGTATTCTTCAATATTTTACTGTAGTCAATCGTTGCTTGTTGTACTCTACACAATTTTGTTCGTTTACATGAACTAGGGATTCCATTCACGCACCAAGTTGAAGTCATGGGACCAACAGAAGATCATACTATGTACGATGATAACAGAAAAGCAGCTATTGATATTGTACGAAACCAAATAACTGATTAGATATGGGAGTCAATTCAGAGGAATGCCGAGGTAATGGAGCAACTTAATGAAGAAGAAGAAGACGAAGAACTAACCGATTATGAAAGCTAGTAACTGTTGTGTAGTACTCTCATTTTGTCAATGAGTTCAACTATCAAAAAACATGTGACCATTTTGAACGACGAATATAATTTAAAATAATAATAATAATTATTATTATTATTATTATTTTTATTATTTTATTATTATTTTATTATTAGTTTATTATTATTATTGTTGTTATTATTGTCGTTGTTGTAATATGCTAAAACATCTAAAACAAAAAAATTAACAACTGAGCTGAGCTGAACTGAACTGAACTGATTGGAGCTGAACTGAACTGAACTGAAAATATGTAAATATGAACAGGCCCGAAGCCTGTGTGACGTACGGTTGTTAGTATTTTTTTTAAAAAATATTTTTCATATTTATGTGATTAAAATTGTTATTATATTAAATTAGTTTTAAAATATTAGATATAATTCCTAATCTCGAAAGATAATTGATTAGGGGATTTTGCTCCCACCAATCGGAATGCGCCACGTGGACCAATCAGGTCCTGCCAAGTGTCTCCCAGTTGGAACTGTCAGGGCTTGCCACGTGGCACGCGCTTATTCGTCCACCTTGGACCTGTTATGTCATGACATGTGGCATACTCCATGCCTAATGGGGAAACCGGCCACCCAGGCCCAACTTCCGAGGGAAGCCCAATCGGCCCTAGGTTAACCTAAACCTAGGATGGGCACGTTTCCCAAGGTTATAAATACCTCCCTTAATCCTCATTAAGGGGGATTACAGAAACATTACGGAAAAAACACATTAATTACACACAGTAATAACCGGCTGATCTCGCTAACAAAGCAGATTACCTACATTAAACACTCTCACCTAGAGAGACCCAATCACTTTAATTTCCGCATTAATTACTCCTTATTCAAGTACTAACTTGACCGTTGGAGGCGGAGCTCCTAGGAGTCTCCGTTATTTTGCAGGTACAGGCGTCCGGTCCCAGTCTCGGAATTGTAACTCTCCCGCAGGACATCAGAAAACCCCGAAACATCTGGCGCCGTCTGTGGGGAGAGTACTTCTGAGATGGCATCCAAGTCTGTACCGACTCCTGAAGAGAGGCGTCCCCTAGACGACCCTCAAGTTCTGTCGGACCATGATACCGAAAGTGAATTTGAAGTTGAAGCTCATACAGCTTCAGACGGGACCCTAAGGGCCCGACGTACCCGTCATACCGAAAGGAGGGAACGGGAACATCTTCAAACAGGAAGCGAGCCAGCAGGCGCACCGCCTGTTCGGCAACAGCCGACTGATGGGTCTGCTCCCATCACAAGGAACGAACTCATGACCTTCATGAGGGACTTCAAGGGAGAGATTCAAGAGTTGATCAACAAGAAGCCGCCTGCTCCAGTCAAGGAGCAGTCGGCCAAGAAACCCTCCACTTCACTGAAGAGGAAGCCAGTTCAAGGGCGAGAGGCGACTCCTCATCCTAAATCTAGGAAGCGGGAGCCACCTGCCCTTAATTTCACAAAATTCCGTTATCCTACAGGAAATAGGAAACCTGTTCGTCATATTCAGGCGGATGGGTCGAAGCAAACATTCACAGATGCTCGGCTACTGCTAGAGCAGAAGAAGAGTGATCGATTGTCAGAGTCGGCCTCTACTTCAAACTTTCAAGACAGTTTGCGAAATGCCTCGATGAGGCATACTCAGTCGTACCATGAGAGTCAGTCAGGCGGCACCTCCCGTCAGTCCGGCTTTCATAGTGACCAGGCGGTACCAAACTTACCATTTGTGCCGCAACAACAGTATTTTTTGCAGCCACCTCCGTTTGGTGGACCTGCAGCAAAAAACGTCCAACCTATGGACTGGCAGCTACGGTTGCTTAGACTTGGTGAACAGCCGTCGGCCTTCTCCAAGGAAATTACTGAAGCCGCTCAGCCGGCCAAAGTGAAAAATGTACTAGTAGGCGCCTATGACGGCACTACTAACCCAGAAGACCATCTGATGGCATTCACCAACCTGATGTACCTTCAAGGGTTGGATGATCCCACTTGGTGCAAGTGTTTCCCAGCGACTCTCAAAGGAATCGCACAGCAATGGTTCGGCAACCTGCCGACTGGTTGTGTAAATAGCTTCAGGACGCTTGCTTACTTATTTACCTCCAACTTCGCCATGAACATCCCTGCGAAGAAAACGACCCTTGATTTGGGAACAATTCAGCAGGGCGAGAAGGAGGGGCTTCGTTCTTACATCAGGCGGTTTAACCTGATGAGAATACAGATTCAAGGGTTACCGGATGAGGTAGCTTATACTGACTTTTTCAGAGGTCTCAAAGACGGGTCTACCTTCAAATTTGATTTGGTTCGAAAAAGGGTGGCGACTCTTCAAGAGGCCTTGATTGAAGCAGAAGCCTATATACAGGCGACTGATCTTTGTACGATAAAACAGTCGGACGGGAAAAGGTTCGACAAAAGAGAAGGACGACAGAAACAATCGTCAAACAAAGATGAGAAAAGAAAAGAGGTCTGAACGTTGATTCCTCTAAACAGCCGGCCCAGAAAAAGAAAAAAGAATTCAAACCATACCCCCCAAAGTATGCGTTTAACAAGGATAACCAGTTTATCCTAAAAGAAATCAAGGGACGGATCTCAATTGAGAAGCCGGTCCCCATGAAGGGTTCTGCAAACAACCGGAACCAAGATAAATTCTGTGCTTATCATGATGATGTTGGTCATCACACCAATGACTGCATCAGTCTCATGCGGTACCTGGACCGCCTGGCTGAGCAAGGTGATCTTGACACTTATGTCAAGAAATCTACGGGGAACACTTCCTCAAAAAAGCAGTCGGCCAAAAAGAATCAGCAGGCCGACAGTTCTGATACAGATGATGCAGTCGTCTACACCATTGCAGGC